TGGCATTAGCGTGGTTAGCTCGTTAGCGTGGTTAGCTAGCTAACACGTTGACGTCGTCCAGCCCCACGCACGGGGCGATGCGCAGTAACTCGTTAACGGAGATTTGCCGTGTCCATCTTCCTGCAGGTGAAGCGATGGGGGAGGAGGGGGAGTTGTGTTCAGTGAAGGAGAGGCGAGGCCGAGTAACATTGCGTAAAGACGAAAGTGGACGAAAGAGAGGCAAACTTGCGGCTCCACAAGTATAATTATAACGTAACATAGACTATATCGATATAAACGATATTGTCACATCTTATATCTCGTATAAAAATATATCGATATTTTTTAAAAACTCGATATATCGCCCAGCTCTACTATGAGAGGTGATATTTCTCCCATATTAGCTTCTCTTCATTGGCTCTCTTTTAAATTCAGAGCTGAATTTAAAGTTACCAATACAATAGGCCTAGACTGCCACCAATAATGCACTCAGCATTGCACATAAGTGAGTTGGTAACTTTTGAAGCATTTATAAATGAATTAAACTGACACATTATATGGGTTGCTCTTCAGTATTTCTTCTATTTGCTATATGTATGGCCGTGTGTAAAGCTTGTACAAGGACTGTATTGTGTTCCAGACAGACATCTGGATCCTATCAAAGACCACAAATGCAGATGCAGTGAAAGCAGTAAGTACCAACATAGGCAGATCGGGCTAATGAGTTAGTGACAGAACATTTTCAACCCGTGCAACAGATCACATCTCTCCCTCACATACACACTAACAGGTTCTACCTTACCTAGCCTGCCATGCTATCCCTCCCAACTCAACAAAGGAACAAAATGGCAAGAAGGGATACATGATACAGCAGGGTTAAAAATAGCCTGCTGACGGAAATAGAGCTGTATTTCATGACCCCTGCATAGTGCTCTTGGTTTACACTTTGGCTACGTTCACACTGCAGGTCTTAATGCTCAATTCCGATTTTTTGATCAAATCCGATCTTTTTGTCTGCTTGTTCACACTACAAATAAAATGTGACAGCAAACGCGCTCTAGTGTGAACGCTCAAAGCGGCCCGCATGCGCAAAAGAAGATGTCACACACAACGCCTCTGTTTAGACCCAGACCAAACAGTATTGTTTAACTGACGGCCCTTAATATAAAGACTTGTTTCGGACTTTACGTTTCCCAATTTTGCTTTAAGTTATAAAGTTATTTTGTTATTTACATATGGCCTAATAATGATCCTTATTGCTGTTTTAGAGAGGAGCGGTGCTTCAAAGGATAGTTGCAGATTTCTGTCAGAATCTGCAGATTATACTGTACAAATAAAATGTTCATGTTTCTCCAACGTTGTCTTCCCAACAGTTACATGTACACTGGGTGGCCAGGAAGCGTTCACGATGTCTTCCCGGGCGCTTCTCTGGCGCTGATAATTGGGATCTGTCTTGTGTCAGTGACGTAAAAGACGGATTTAATGCGACATGACCATTCAAACAGCAGTCGCTTTCTAAAGCGTCAGATATGTATCGGCTTCAGTACCACACACGAAAGTGACCTGGGTTGGATTTGAAAATATCGGATCGGGTCAAAAAAGTTGGATTTGATCCGCTTTCGCCTGCAGTGTGAACGTAGCCTTTGAGTAACTGTAGTGAAGTGTCCTAAGATTTTTTTGAAACGGTTTTGCTGTTCTTATTGTTTTTTGCACCAGAACTAGCAGAATCAAACGTTCTCACGCAGGTCAAAGCCAAGAATGCTCTGTTTTGAGGATTCAGAGCCTTATGGTATGTGAAGAATAAATGATCTGCCTGAGAAAACTGAGAACTCTACTTTCTGTTTTGAATTCCACTGCACAGCCATACTACTAAAAAAAAAGAAACAATTACATCTTCACAGAAATATCCATGAGCGGAGCAGCAAATTTTCCCAGCTGTGCTTTGATACACATCACTAAAGCTTAGTAAGAAAAGGAGGGAATTCAGGAGAAAGAATGCCCAAATATCAATTGTTTTCTTGTACAATGTTACCAGTCATCTTAATTCAGAATATCTGAATGTGGTCTCTGCTCCAGGTCAGGGTATGGATGAAAAATGGTCCATGAAGAGGGAGATTAAACAGCGTTTTGCTTTTGATTCAAAAGTTGCACTACTGTTTTCTTTATAATAGTTTTTGCACAGAAAAAGTTGCCTTTTGTTAATTTCACCATTTAATAGGCACCATTTCTTTGTAACTGCTAAAGAGCAGCATGTATTCATACAAACTTGATTGATTCAAAGACATTCCAGGGGTATAATGGGAACAATTTCTCCCACTTGGTGTCATAAGTGCATGCTACATGCCTCAGAGTGTTAGGAACAATAGCCTCTTTCACTCGTAGTGCCAGGCTGGGGATGGGGAGGTGCATCACTGGAAGCAGACAGGGCTGTACAGTTGAGTGCAGATACTTCAGAGGGGCCTCACACAAACCCAGGCAGCAAGTTGTGGCACTTAAAGCCCAGACATGGGTCATGTGTGAATTACATGCTGGGATTAGTCCTGCTTTCTAAAACACATGCATGACAAAACTTTGTATCTGGATTAGAACTGGCTATGGCAGCTAAAATATCAATTGTTATGACATGCTTTCCCATATTAAGGATGAACTGCATTTTAGCTTTAGTGCATGGATTTTCCAAATAGTGTTGGAAGGGTCTCTGGTTGGGGTAACACGGTCAGGTTTAGAGTTAGGGTTGGAACCGTGTTGCTGCAGTTGAGGAAAAAAGCACCATCCCAATTTTACATTAGGTTAAAACCCTGTGAAATAGCACTGATGTATCCTTGAAGCTGTTTCAGCTGTAGCTCATTTTATGACACTTGACCTTTGCAAAGATTGTGCAGTTCAGTTTGTATTAGTCTTCCTCCTTTTTGCGTGCTAGACATTTGGACCTACAGGGAAAATGGTGTCACACATTTAGGACTTTGGAACAAATCCAGCTGAAAGGAGCGCCTTTAGTTTTAATGTAGCGTAGTAGTAAATGCACAACTGCGCCTTGAACTGCTGTGACAAGTCAAAATGCGTGCTGTGAAACATCTGCTGAGTCAGAAGTGCATTGTAGAGGGGTAAGCTAATCTAATTGTGTTAGATCCAGATGTGACCTCGGCACTGTTTGTTACAGAGTAGCGTAAGGTTCAAAAGTATATATGGTACTTTTACAGTTGAGAATTGCTTTATAGTGCACGTCTCATTCAGCTAGTTATATAAAGTGCATTTATCCATGCCTAAGTGCTTTCTAATATTCACATAGAAACTCAAACTCTTATGGATGGATCTCGCAAGAGACTCGGGGTTCAGTATCTGACCCAAGAATATGATCGATCCACTGACCTTCCAATTGGTATATATCAGGCTACCGTGGGGAAAACACACTAACAAAACCACAATATACAGCCATCTTTTAAAAATCACTAACGATAACTTAAGCTGTCTGAAATAAAGTCACACACACACACACAACAAAAGAAAAGAAAAAATCCTAAGAAAATATGTTTTTCACGTCTGTCAGTTATCTTTACTTTCTCTTTTCTGAATGCTAAGACTTCAGCCATTAGAGTACAGAATGACATTAGTAGAGGGTTAGGGTATAGCACTTTTCTATTCTTTTGAGCCACTCAGTTTTTACTAGTACTTTGCGTACCTCACATCCATGGCCAGTTTAGAATTACTGAATGACATGCATATCTTTGAACTGCAACCCAAGCTGGAGTTTGAACAAGGTTCAAACCTGGCGTGGCTTGTGTTTTTCTGCAAAGGACAGCACTAACTACTGCATCATATCTTGCAGGTAATAATGCCTCAGTGGCTGGAATTTGTAAAAAAAAAAAAAAAAGGATTTATCCAGCATTGCCTCATTCACCCAGTCATACAGAGTGATGGCTGTGAACTACCACCCAATTTGGCGGTATGTCGATAGGACGTAGTTTGGGGTTAGGTATGTTGCGCTATAGAAACATAAGGAAGCAGTACTAAGGATACAGAGTACACTTATTTTAGCTAGATTTTCATCGTCAAATGATTTACAGCAGGAGGTCCAGGCCAGGGAAGCATGTCACTGCTGCCAAAAGTAAAAGTATTCTCAGGGTGTGAAACAGATGCCAGAGCTCCACGTGGTCTGGGCTGAGCCCTCTGACAGTCTGTACTATTACTATAGCAGCTTTAATGCCACCATTTACACTAACCAATGACACTCAAAGAACACATTTGCATTTGCTTGAAGATTGTGAAGACAAACTGGCATAATTGTTCCGTCTTTATGTTCATACGCAAAGCACGTGAGAGCTGCAACATGTCACTTCAGAGTTACCGTTTCCCTTCTAACAAGCATGTATTGAGAGGGAAATTGGACATAAATCAAATTTGCGAGAACAAGGTTAAAGTAGAGGTTTCTTTGACTTATTTTATAACCGGAGTGATCATAACGATCGTTGAAAGACCGACTCCAGCACAGGAGAAAAAGTTGGATTAATTATCACTGAATATTAAATCTTCTACAGCTGCTACTCTACCACCTGCAAAGGAAGTCAGAGAAGGAAGCTGCATTTCCTTTGCAATAGTTTGTTATAAATGGAAATATGAACATTGTAAAGAATTTATTAGTTTTGAACCGTGTGGTTTTCTTGTTTGAGAACGTCAAGGCAGTTCGTAAGCCTTTCTGAACGGTCTGATTTAAAGCAAGGTTTTCGGTTTTTGAGTCCAAAAACTCTGTGTTCAAGGGCTAGACGTATGTTTTTGTTGTGTTTCTTTTTGCTTTTGAGACTCTAAATGATCTATTGAATATAAAAAAGGTAGGAAGTAAACATAAACAACTACAAAACAGCTCCGCCTGAAGTTTTGTTTTTGTGTGTATCACTATGACAAATGTTTGCCTCGGCTTCAGCAGCTTAACCACAACAGGAAAAAACAGCCTTCCTGCCAGCAGAAAATCATGTTTTGACATATAAAACCAAAAGGTGAGCGTGTATGGTAACAGTTCTACTTACAAAATTGTCCTTCATCTTCTTTGGCTGATTAGTGATCATTTATCCACGAGCAGCAGACGGACACATCTACATCACTATCAGTTAGAAAGGTGCGAGGTCAGAGAGATGATTGGCAGGTTGGTGGAGCGTGGGGAGGGCGTCCCTGCAGCATGAAGACAGACCCTCCTATCATCCACAATTACTCATTTTTTCTTTCTACGCAAACATGTGCACCATTGTCACGTCACACACACTTCGGATACAAAGATTACAGAAACAGAGACTATTCACAAAATGTTGGACACAATGGCACATTTACAAGAAAGCTTTTTTTAGAATGTTGCAAAAAAAACCTGTTTTAATACGAGAAAATTCAAGAGAAGTCAAGAAATCTGTTAATTAAGCACAAGTTTAGTTTTTCAGGATTTATAATAATAAACAAAATTTATTGCAAAAATCAAAGTAAAAGAAAGCGTACTTTTACAAATTAAACCACAAACAGGAAAACTTTAGATGATGAACAAATGAACTTTTGATTTTTCCTTTCATTACTATTTGGGCAAAGCGCTTAACCCTATAATCCCCTTTGTATCATATTTGATACATGAATTTCTGAGACCTCTATCTCATCAGCGTGATAAATACTTGCCATAATGTTATGGACAAAACTTTTTTTTTTGTCTAAAATTAACATTGTTATTAACAAAAAGTTGCTAAAACATCCAATGTATCAAAAGCGATACAAAAAACATATAATAAATATATAACAAAAATATATCATACACAACATGATATAGCAAAAATTTTGTGGATTTTGTTATAAGGGTTAACAAAATCTAAGTTCCCCAAAATCTGAATTTTCTGGCTATTTTTTGATGGGTTGGGTCTCACAGGGCAAAGTACACAAACAAATCATATATTACTTTTTTTTTTTTTGCCTGACTGATGTAAAACCTCGGTTATGTAAACTACATGAAATCCTTATTTTACTAATGCTGAGAAAATAATAGCAGCTCACAGATTTTTTTTTTTTTTTAAAGTAAGCAGTTTCCTCAAATATTTAATAATTAATTAAAGTATATGGATTTTCAGCCTTTGGTTTGGCTATTTAATAATCACTCCAGGTTTTATGTTTGTTCTGCTCTTGCCGTGCTTTCATTTGTGCCAGGAAAAAAAACATCTTTAAGAAGAGTCTTTCAGCTCTTCATCATGCTGCGCAAATTCAGTAAAATTGCAAAATTTCACCCCTTTTGCCAACAGGTAGATAATAATCTGCATGACAAATACTGCAAAAATTGGTTCACCCCCATTTCCACAATACATGTTTTACAATGTTTAAAATGTAAAAAAAATCTTGATTCAGAATTTTCTGTTTCTGCTTCACATCATTAAAACAGTACGTTTGTTTTTATACTGCAGTGGTTTTATGTCACCAGCACAGCAATTTTATATTGCATCCTTCATTATTTCATTATTTTATCTGGTTTTACTATTAAACACTTCATATTATATAATTTCATTTAACAAACACTAATTCCTATTGCTTTTTAATTTTAATAAAATAATACAACTGTACTGATAGTAAAACTACTCATTAGCTGCAATCACATATAATAGTTCTGAGATCTTCGAATAACGTGCCAAATCGAGCAAACCCTGGCCAACTGATGGGAAGAAGAGGATTTCTGACTCTTTGATAATGTCACATTACAAACTAACCAGAGTCACATTGCTGCCATCACACAGCTGCTAAAACCCACTGGCTGTGTTAAATGGTAATGTCCTGGCTGTAAGAGTTAAAGGCACCGTGCCTGTAAAATTTTTCACTTTCACGTTCACATCAATTGAGAAAACTTTTTTTCTTAGCATGGCCAAGTGTGTTTGTCACATAAATATGATAATGATTGTGCACAGAGCAGAGAACGAGAGATTAGCCAATTTGTTACTATAATCCATCTAAATTGCTAACTGCTTTACAGCCTTTCATTCAGCTGCTCTCACTATCCCACAGTTACTCTGTCCTCTACTTTTGTTTCTCAGACATCTTCTCTGCTTTTCATGGGAAAATCTATGTAACTTTAAAAACGTGCAGCACCGTCTCCATTAGGGCTCCCCTGAGTTTTGCCTCTCACTTAACCTCTGAAAAGCTGGAAAGAAACACCTGCAGAACTGAAAAGCCGCCAGGATGTCGTTTAATTTATATTATTATTCTCTAGTCATTGCGTAAAATAATGATATTCAATAAAGACAAAAGGACTGAACATCTGACCAGGATTAGTCAGGAGAAGACACAGGAGCACCAAAGAAAATATGTCAACATTAAATTAGACTAAAAATTTAAGTAACACACGAACACGCAGCATTTCACATAAATGTGTGCAGCTAGAAGATGGCACAAAGTGTTGACCGACTCAATTAAAAAAGTTTTTAAAAATCATCATTTACAGTAATTTAATAAAAATAGAAAGAGAACAGCATATACTGTTGATATGCTCAACAAATTAATGTTAAAAAATATATAAATTAAAAACTAAAAAATTTAAAAATCCTTATTAACAAACTCATACTGAACTCATATTTTCACCTGTCAGGAGTAAAAAGGAACCTTTGCGCTGCGCAGAAACAGTCATTTGATTCATATTGCTATATACATCGATATTACCTGTAAAAGGAATTACAGTGAATTTTTTTTTACACCAAAAAGCCCTAGGCATGTAGACACTCACACGTATATCGCACACAATCAAGCTGGTATGGTTGCTTCAAAACTGCATGACTGCAAGAAACCAGTCAAGAAAAATTTATGTGACGTCTGACCATCGAAATGAACTCTTTCCAGTAACAGAGGAACATATTCTTATTAAGAATAATATCCATTTTTTTAATCTGTGGGGAAGCATTTAATGTGTGTTGTGTTGTGTTGACATGCTGATGAACTGTGTTGATGATGATGATGATGACAAGAAGATGTTGTGTTGTGACTCAACCGTGGAACAGCTCTGCCTGGCTGACCTTTTGCCATCTGTCCTTAATGACAGAGTCTGGCTGGTGGACTGCAGGCAGGAGCATGTGACTGCTGCAGGTATACAGCTGGTGCCTGCTTACTCACTGTAGACCATGGGGAGACACAAGTGGACAACCACTGACACCTGGACCGTGAACTCAAATCATACCCACTTCTGGTTTGCCTTGCTGGTTTACAATTCATTTGGGTCATTGATGCTGAGGCTTGGAGAACAGACTAACCAGAGCTTATACTCGTGTGGAAAAATTTTTTTTGCCATTATTTAACTTTTCTGGATGTCGCATAGACTATTTTTTAGACTTTTTTTTTTTTAAACTTTTCAACAACGAGGAACGGCAGACTATCAGATGTCGACATCCGCTTACGTTGAGGTCATTTCCTCTAGTTACCCTGGATTATACTGTGTCACAAGTAGGGAGTGATAATGATTTTTGCATTGTTTGTTTTTTTTTATTACAAAATCAGAACAGTTAGTAAACAAAAGAAATTTTAGCATGTTTTCTTATTTTCTCAGACTCCACCAGGTTTGCTTTGCATGATTCATAGTTGTAAATCATCCTTTATCTTACACTGGGCTTTGGTGCAGCCCTGCAGTTCATCCCCAGTCTAAAACAAATTATTTTACCACCTCTGATATTAATGTAATTAACCTTTCAAGCCAAAGAAATTTGGGTTGAAACGTTCTTCAGACTAGCTTGTAGAGACTCATAAAGAGAAAGTCAGAACAGCAGGTGGGTGGGGCTGCTGTGCCTGAGATGATTCATTTTTGGCATGTCGGTGCTCTATGACATCACACGTGTTAAAAACTTGGTAAAGAATATTGAAAACTGAGTTTTTGACTTATTTACCATATTTTTAAACGTTGGCCCTTTTAAGATGAACAATCAGTATTATAACAGAATGTATATGACAATACACTAGGAAAGGAACAAGAAGAAGAACTATCCAGTTTAACCTAAATCAAACCTAACCTTACTAACATCATAAGTTTGTATGTGTTGTAGCCTGGCTGCCCTGTGAAATGAGCACATCTCTAAAATGAACCCATAACAAAAACATTTAATCTTTCTGGTTATCGGAAAAAGGTAAAAATCAACACATTTCGACTTGTAAAGCTACGAGTAACTCAAAGCTGTCAGACAAATACTATATTGTAAAAAAAAAAGTGAGAGAAATATTAGTCTGCATAATACATAAAAATGAAAAACTACCTACATCTTCTACTTGTTGTTGTTATTACTGTAATTTCTAGCTCTCTTCCATGGTGTGTCTTTTGTCCTGTCTTCCTTCCCTTGACCCCAAACGGCTGCAGCAGATGGCTACCCTTTCCTGAACCTGGTTCTGTTCTGAGGGAATTTCCTGTTAAATGGGAATTCTTCCTTCTCACTCTCGCCAAGCACTTGCTCGTAGGGGGTCATCTGATTGTTGGTGCGTCTCTGGTGCTATAAATATAAATAAATAAACTGGAGTAAAAGAACTCAATTACTTTATTATTAGTGGAAGCAGCGTCCATAGGGTGAACATCACGTTTTCAGTTTCATCGTGTCAATTTTCAGGTTTCTCTCGCTGTATAATTTCATCTTTCTCTTTTTTCGCCTCCCTTTTATGATTAGAAAAAAAGTCAGCCATGACTGCCTGCTGTTAACTGGAAAAAAAAAGGCCAAGAGCAGCAAATTGTGCTGATCTTGTTGTAACCTCATGGTTTTTACAGTGCTGCGCAGGGGTTTGATGCAGGAAGTGGGCACATTACTGCACTTCCACGCCCACAGCAGCCCCATTCCCTCCCTCCATTACACCAACCCCCCTCCTAACCACCTGTGCTGGTCTCACAGGATGAACCCCCCTCACCCCTAAAGCCTTCTTTCCTCCGCAACACAAACTCCTTTACAGCTGCACGTCTTTGCCAAACCACATACTGAATGTGCTCTGTTGTTTTACACTCCACTGCTTCAACAACATCAGTGAAGATTTGGTTTACTGTAAACTGTCTCCAAGTGCAAGCGAGCACTCGTTAAAAGATTGGGCTCCTCCCAAACTCATCTTCTTCTAGAATTTTCTATACAGACGTCTGCTTCAAAGATACCCATGTTCATCAACAATATTTTTTGTACAAAAGAAATTCAGTGTACGGGGATTAC